AGAGAGAGAGAGAGAGAGAGAGAGAGAGAGAGAGAGAGAGAGAGAGAGAGAGAGAGAGAGAGAGAGAGAGAGAGAGAGAGAGCTTTTGTTGTTTCAGCCCGAAGAACTACTAACCAGGGACCGCCCAGAAGTCAAGCAAGGTGAGAGTGTGGCTGGCTTGTCATGGGATCACGCTGAAGCAGTCAGAAATGAGAAGCACACACGCGGGACACTTAAAAAAATGCCCCCTGCATGTGAAAATCACATGGCAAAGATTATGCTTGTAGTACACTGCCTTCTTTGACCACTGTTAAGAATAAGGGAACTGAAATGGATGCAAATGGAGTAATCGCAGGATCGCCTGCCCACCTTTCAGTCCGGGCCAACGTAGGGCATTCCTACATACAGTGAGGCATTTCCCGAGACGGCAGCGGATTGCACCTTTTTTTTCTGAGAATCGACTTGTTTGCAGCTGGCCCTCCAGTACGTGCCAGAATGTATTGAGGGCTTAAGAGCAATAAATATGCTGTGACTTCCGAAGTGCGAACGGGGTGGACAAACAGGCCCTTTATGCACATTGTTGATGGGCTGCCTCCTCCTCGGCATGAGCAGCAGAGTGGCACAAACCGGAGTTCAAGCCCAGGGGAAATAATTGAAGGGGTGAAAAAAGCATGCCTGGGGCTGAAAAGTGAAGAATCCTGTGTTTGGCTGCTTCAGCCCTCACCCATCTACTGGAAGACTGAAGAACTGGGCTCTTTTTCATCAAGAGGAATTGGAATGGCAGGTGATAGTGCCTCTGATTCTTCTTCTTCTCCGGTCCTGCACCAGAAGTAGATGTAAATTAACCGGCGAAGAGAGGAACGGAGGGAAGAGGCAGGAGAGGAATGCATCGAGCTTACGAGGAAGGAGGGAGGGAGGGTAGAGAGCGAGGGAGGGAGGGAGGGTAGAGGGCGAGGGAGGGAGGGAGGTAGAGGGCGAGGGAGGGAGGTAGAGGGCGAGGGAGGGAGGGAAAGAAGATCGAGGAAGAGTGGATGCGGAGATCGTATCAGCGTTAGGCATGTAGAGAACCAAGCACTTCAAGTAACTGCTGTCATTTTGTGTGCCTCGAGAAGGTCCAAGAATTGAGCCGAATTGAAACGACTGAATGAATACAAGGTATAGCTAATACCCGAGGCCTGTAGAAGTTTCATCTGACTTGGCCCTGTATTACTGTGCAAATATTAGCCAGGAAGGAAAATTTGCAACACTCCGCCAAGGCCTGGACTGTTTGCTGCTTTCACACCTTCTGACGTCTTGACTGGTATGTGCATGGCGATTCAGATTATACTGCTGAGGCAAAAATTGCACTAGCCTGCAGAAGATAGCAAGCTTATTCACAAGGACACGTAGGTTTAAACTTTAAATGTATAGCCAGTAAGCCTTGCAGACATAAGATGTTCTCAGTGCAAGCTGCCATTGTACTTTTTTTTTTTTTTTTTTTACTGCCTCGTCTGTCGCTTTCTGTAATGCTGACCTGCCATGTCGAACATCTAGTATCTCTGAGTCGTCCCTCGGGCAACTTGTGAGCTTGAGATATCCTCAGCGCCAGTTGTCGTGGTGCTCCTGATGACCCACCCCTTGACCTGTTGCAGGGCCTGCTTGATTCTGCAGCTCCTGCTCGATTGCACAGAGCCTGCCCTGCCCTGTTGCCGGGCCTGCTCGATTCTTTCTGCAGGGCGTTCTTGCATTCTTGTTTCTGCAGGACCGTCTTGTTTCAGCCCTTTGTTTTTTTTTTTTTTTTTCCCCTACAGTGCTGGGGTCTGGCATGCTGAATCTCTACCATCCTTTCATGCCTTAGATTGAGGTTGGTGATGAGCTCTGGCAGACTACATTGTGGATAAGAAGACTTGAAAGCTGCTGTGGTCGTTGGCAACACAGGCATGGCGTGGGTGGGGCACTGCTCCCGCACCAGCTTCCTCTACACCTGCTTACCTGCCTACAGTGTGTGGCTTCCCTGAGTGCCCGCCAGCGTACCGGCATCTTTGCAGCTTCTTGCACTGCGCACGTTCGATCGAAGATGAAAGGATAGGGTACGGAATACCCTTTCCATCTCTCTCTCTCTGACACACATACACCCGATTGTGCACGTAGGGGACCTAGGGCAGTCTCGTCGGATTGTGCACGTAGGGGGCCTAGGGCAGGTACGTCCAATAGTGCCGGCAGGTCGCGTACGTGGGCCGGCCTGACTTCTTTTTTCCTTTTTTTTTTTTTTTTTGGCCGCCTG